GAAGCTGTTCTGGAGAGAGAACACAGTCCCGTGTTGAACTGAATGGAGAGATGGCAAGACAAACCAGGAGAGATGCCCAGAGACTTGGAGAGAGAAAATTGGCATGAAGTTTCTTTTAAGGACCAAAACACAGTCTTGCAAGTGATGCAAGTGATTCTAACAGAAGTGCTAACTGAAGCTATGAGAGTGAGTCAACTCATCAAGGAAACTGGAATGCAGAGGGAAAATCATAATTATAGGACAGCACCTTGGAGCATACCTCCAGCGAGTGGGAGGAAACAGACAAGGAGCCGGCACAGGGATCTAAGAGAAATTCAGAAGGATCTCTGTGGCAACACTGAAGTCAAAGGAGGCTTTCTCCTGCTGGTGTCCCTGAGTAGGTGTCTGTGATAAATGCTTTGTAAAACAGCGCAGATTATAAATAAAAGTCTGTGGGCAGCAAGAGAAAAATCACATGCGTTTTTCAGTGCTACTGGGCTGGCCCTGCCCACTGGTGATATGGGATGTACTTAGCTCAGACTGGAGAACACCCACACGAAATTTCCTCAACCGCCAGTAGGACCTGTCCCCTCACCTCTCTTCTCCGAACGCAGGATGGGAAATTGAACCCTCCTTGTACCAAAAGAGCACATCTGAAATCACCTTATGGCACCCGTATTCTTTTATTTGCCCCTAGTGCCCAAGACTTTATAAGGTGAATGTGGCCTTTGCAATTGTTATCCTGCATTATTTTTTTTCTTATCAACACCTCAAAATTCCTCTCTTCTAGTTGTTTTTGCTCTGTTGGTTAAACCAGCGTTTCTGAATTGGCCAACCACAGGCCTCCTTGGGGGTAAGGTGGGGAATGTTATCGCAAGTCTTTGAACCTCTCTGGTCATATTCTCCTCGTCTGTGCCTTAGGTCCCCCACAGACCAGCAGGAATTGTTCAGCTGCACAGGTGGCATTTAGCACTACTGACTTTTGACCTCAAAGAGCACATCAGATGCTAAATTCATAAAAAATTTAGTAATCGCACATTTTGGATGAGCATTATTTTTACCTTTCCATGGATCAAATCTACTAAACATGACCTTCCTCAGGCCAATTACTCATTTTACTACTTAAAAGAATTGTAAGACAGGGGTGAAAAGGACGAATTGGTAAAGGGACATGAAAATCAACTACATTGTATATTGATAAATTAAAATAAAGAATAAAAAAATAAAATAATAAAAATTGTGAGATATATATTCATACAGAAAAGAGAATAAATCACATATGTACAGTTTATTTAAAGAATAATTATAGAACAACCAGGTCCAGAAGTAGAACATTGTCCAAACCGCACAAGCCCCCATGTACCCTTCCCTGATCACGTCCCCTTTCTTACCCTGGAAAGAAGCATTTGTGATGATCATTTCTTTGCTTTTCTTTATAGTTTTACTACCTATGTCTGTATCCTAAACAGTAAAGTTGAGTTTAGCCAGGTTTTGAGCTTTGCATACATGAAAACAGACTGTTTTTTGGTTGACTTCTTTCACTCAATATTGCTATTCATCAGATTATTGTAAATGATGACAGTCTGTTCCTTTTCATTGCTGTATCATTTTTCAAAATATGACTATACCATAATTTATTCTATTGTTGATATAAGCTTGGGTTGCATGCTGGTTTCAGCTATTACAAATAACGCATATGTGCAAGAGGTTCTGTAGAACTGCTGAGTCATAGTGAATGTGTATCTTCCATTTTACTAGATAAGGCCACACTGGTTCCCAAGTGATTGCAGCAATTTATACCACCACCACTCGGTACATGAGGATTCTCCTTGATTCATTCTTGTTAAAACTTGTTACTTTCAGACTTTGAAATTATTCTTTGATCTCCTGGGTGTCTAACACTATTGCATTGTGATTTTCATGTTTATTTCTGTGGTTACTAATGAGGGTGTTGGTATTTACATATATATTGGTCATTTGCATTTCCTCTTTGGTGCTGTGCCTATTTAAGCCTTTTGCAAACCATTTTTAAAACTAAGTTGTCTATTTTTTATTATTTATTAGGTTTTCTTTATATATTCCAGGTACTAATTTTTTATTATGTATTTTGCAAACTTCTCCTACATTATGACTTATCTTTTCTACTCAGTTTATGGTATTGTTTGGTAAATTAAAGCCCACTGTCTTTATGTAGTTGAATTTACCCATCTTTTCCTTTATAGCTAAAAAAAAAAAAAAATTCCTCTCAACCCTAAAGTCATAAAGATATTTTCTCATACAAGTCTACATAACTTATCTGAAATCTTCAGAGCCTGGTCTTTAGAATACAGACTTTTCTGGATACTGGAAAGATACTATGGGAACATACCAAATATACTGTATGACATTCTCAACAAGAACTGAAATAGTACCCATACTCGAATAGATTAATATGTTTACAGCAAAACATGCAGTCATCTAAGTGATATATAAATAATAACTATAAAGAGACTCTTCACTTTAAGTCACCAAATAAGTTCCAGTTTGGTGTTTCAGAGGCTTGTGCATTTTGTAATTACTACAAAAGTTATGGTAGCTTTATGCAGTAAGAATGAAATGACTTCAAAGTTTGGAAGAATTTACTGGGGGAGCCATGTAGTTGGAAGTTGGGTGCATGAAGATTCTTTATGACTGATTCCAATTATTTAATGGTTTAGGACTTTTATATTCTCTACTCTTGAGTTAACTTGTTTTTCTTGAAATTTGTACATTCACCTAAATTTTATTTGCATTAAATTGTAAGAGCCTCTAAACTTTTTTTAAAAGGTCCTCTAAACTCTTTGATGTCTATAGTATCTACAGTTTCCATTACTGATATAGGTTGTTAACGTCTCTCCTTTTATTGTTCAATACTCTCAGATGTTTGTCAATTTTATTATTGACAACTCAACTTTTTATTATTGAAGTTTTTTTAATTTTTTATTATTGAACTTTTATTATTGAAAAATCAACTTCTGGGTTTTTTTTTTTCAATCTATTGTACACAGCAGTGTGCTAGTGAATTGACTCCAAAATAAACCAAACCAAACCCTGCCTTGCTTGCTCATTTCCATAGTGTGAATATTCCCATCATGGGCGGTTTCAGGTGACTGATTTGATGTTATTGACCATGGGGTAGGAAAGAGGTGTGCTGGTGCTGGCAACCACGCTCTTTTTTTTTTTTTCCTTTTTGTCTTTTTTTCGTGTCCGGCAACGGGTCGCAACCCTCAGTGTCGCGCCCGTACCAGACCGGGACCGGCAACGGGATCGCAACCCTCGGTGTTGCTCCCGCC